TAGCTTTGTCATTTTTCTTGGTGACAATCTCTCTTTTGGTCTTTTGCGCTCAGACAGGGATCCCACAAAGCAGGAGTGATGTAACCGGCAGACATTAGGCCAGCTCAGTGCTACTCACTTTGCTTGCTTCTGAACACATCCCCTTCTAAATTCCTTTCACAAAGTTGTAGTTTACCTCCCAATTAAATGGCACAGTTAAATAATATAAATCATTCTTATTCATAGGATGTGCAGTCTTGCCTCCAGAATGTTTTTCAAGTGCACCTTTGTTTTAGGGGACTTCTCAATTACAAATATTCCAGAATTACCTCAATTACCAACCACAGGTCTCTGGTCTAGTTAATGAAATTCACCATTTCAATCAACTTACAGAGGTTCTACTATATTACAAAGCTAACTCTGATCTTTTCTGCTAAACGGAACTAAACTTAAAGAAACGACATTATTTAAAGAACAGAAACTAGACTCAAATTTTTAATGAGATTTCTTTTTTTTTTTTTAAAGGTCACAACTAGAAAGTTCTTAAATTAATGAGCAATAAAAATGTAAATCTAGTTCAATTTGCTGAATTACCCAGTGAAGTACTTCAAAAGAGCTACGTAGCTTTCTTTTATCCACAGGCTTTTTGGGTTACATTATTCAGAAGGCATTCCCTTCAGGATGAAAAACTGTTGTAGGTAGCCTGCAAAACTGGAAACTATTTCCTGCTCTGTTATACTAAATGCCCTCAAAAATTTACTTATAATTCTTGTTCATAGTCTCTACACCTGAATTCCTTACAAGATTTTTTTTCCTCTTTCTGAGACAGAGTTTCATTCTGCCGCTCTGAGTAGAGTGGCGTCACAGCTCACAGCAACTTCAAACTCTTGGGCTCAAGAGACCCTCCCGCCTCAGCCTCCCAAGTAGCTGACTATAGATAACTGCCACCATGCCCAGCTAGTTTCTCTAGGGTTTTCTGTAGAGATAGGCTCTTGCTCTTGCTCAGGGTGATCTTGAACTCCTGAGCTCAAACAATCCACCTGCCTTAGCTCTCCAAGTATTAGGATTACAGATGTGAGCTACCATGCCCAGCGAAGATCTTTTTTTTTTTTTTCCAAGCAGAGAAAAGCACCACTTTTTCTGTTTCTTTCAAAGAGATAGTCACTTTTACATTCTGTGCAATCCCTGACTGAAAGTTAAGATCATTCTCTTGTACAGATATTTAGGAAACTATTGGTTACCCACTGGAGAGCACATAGCCGAACACCAGGGCTGTTTTCCAGACAGAGAAAGAGAAGCCCCAGATGGAAAGCTTATTACATATATGGCTATAATTTTGTGCAAACATGAAGTATCAAGATTATAGCTCCCATGACATTCATTCTAAAGCATGTCAAACACGTGTAGAAGTCTTCTATTTATTTTTTTAAATTATTATTTTATTAAGCAACAGAGTCTTGCTCTGTCGTCCAGGCTGGATAGAGTGTAGTGGTGTAATCAGCTCACTACAGCCTTAATACCCAGGCTTGAGAAATTCTCCAATCTGAGCCTCAGTAGCTGGGACTCTAGGCACCCACCAGTGCGCCTGGCTAATTTTTTAAAGTTTTTGCACAGACATGGTCTTGCAATGTTGTCCAGGCTGGTGTCAAACTTTTGGCCCCAAGTGATGCGCCCAACCCAGCCTCCCAAATTGCTGGGATTACAGGCATAAGCCATCGTACGTATTTATTCTTAAACAGCTAAGTGAAATGGAAAAAAGGGAAGACAAGATACAAGTGCCTGTAATTCAGAGTGAAAAGAGGTAGGCATTACACAAAAACTACCACTAGCCTCAGCACTTGACTTGATAGCTAAGTCTCTGTTGGGAGCCTAAACCCTTCCCTCTCCTCCTCCCCTAGAACAAAAGGCCTACCTGGCCCCACCTCAAAAGTTCCACCAGAAAGACTCTAGCTGCCAGAACCTTCTAGCAAACTGTAGAATATTCCTCCTCCTACACCAGTATAAAAACAAGCCTCCAACCACCTCAGTGCACGTGCCATCTTTGCCCAGGTGGGTCTCTGTCCCCTTTCATTAAACTTGGCCTGAACCAGTCTCATCTCTGGGTACACTACCAAACTCCTTTCAGCCTCCATTTGTATTTGTGATCAAATTTGATAAAAATTTGTCTGATTTTGAAAAAAATTCACGTATACTTAATGTAATACCTTATTCTCATTTTAAAACATTTCTGGTGACATTGTCTTTTTTTGGATGTGTTTTGTTGCTTTAAAGAGCTTTTTGGTTTCACCACACCTGTCAGCTCATCTCTTCTTAACTCATCATACGGTCTGACCATCCCCATCAAAGACAATGATCTAGCACAGTAGTTCTCAACCTGGGGGTCACAACCCCTTTTTAACAATGAAAATACATCCTACATATCAGATATTTACATTACGATTCGTAACAGTAGCAAAATTACAGTTATGAAGTAGCAATAAAAATAATTTTATGGTTTGGGGTCACCACAACATGAGGAACTGTATTAAAGGGTTGTGGCATTAGGAAGGTTGAGAACCACTGATCTAGCATGTACTCTTTAAATATTCTTTCCCCTTATAGGAATCCTATTTATTAGCAACAAAGCCTCCTTAAGCAAACACCATTTTCATGCCCAGCGTGATCTAGTAAAGCAGTTCCCCAGTACATCTAGTATTTTTAACCAGTGCCTCCAATCCATTAGTAATCAGCAGGTCCTATCCCAGTCTGCTAGGTAGTCTATCCCTGATTAACATACAGATTAAGAACCCCATTATGAAAATCTGAATCTGCCACTTAGAAGCTGCATGCTTTGGGGGAGGTTACCCAAATTCTCTCATATATGAAGTGTGCTTAAGATAGCACCTAACGAATGGTTATTGTGAGGATTAAATGAGATAATGCAAAATGACCTTCACAGAATACCTGTGAAAAAAATGAGAGTAGGGCCTCTATTGTTGACCATCTTCTTAAGCTAAGCGTCTCCTTCAGTTGACTAGACACGCACCACAGGTAGGTACCAGCACAGCAGACCTAGTTCCTCATGTTGACCACCTCTGTATGCTGACCAGTCTGATAACTTACAGAGGTTCTCCTATATTACTGTTAATGCTATGAAATTCCTCCTACCACCACTTAATGATTTCAATCTCTTCAGGAGCGGCTTTTCCAATCTTAGTTCCTCTTTCCAGCTCCCAGCACTCTCTTCACACTTCCTCCCCTTCTCTTCTCACCCTCCACAGTGGTACCTCTCGCCACTCCATGAAACTGCCAAAGTTGCCTCTTTACTAAACACAGCTCTAAGTAAGCAAACTTTCCTATTTATATGTATTTTACAAACAAGCCAGAGGTGAGATAAAACATCCACAATTATTTTAAAGCCAATTAAAACCAATCTGATACATACCTTTGATTTTAAACAAATATGAGCCCAAATTCTCTCATTTCCTTAAACCATGACCATCAGAAAATGCAACAGGACATAAGCAAATAAACCAACATTCTAAAAGAATCACAATCAACCTTGTTAGATACAAAAAGCCTTATCTTCCAAAATACACTTAAAGTTAGGAAGTTGTTACTAATTTCCTAATTTGTTACAAATTTTAGATGGAACATGGCAAAAATAATGTGAATCATCATTTTTTGGACCATAAATACAAGGTAGATTTCCCAACTTTATTTGAAAATTTGGTAATTAAAAAACCTGTTACCATTTCAAGACATAATTTGTCTTTAAAATTTTTAAGATTTAAATTAAATGTCACAAATAAAATAGATTGAGAATATGTAAATGTATTCATATGATCACGCGTTGAAATAAAGATTTAAGGAATTAATTTTTGTTTAAGAAAAGCTTAATTACAAATGCTGCCCTGTTGTTTTCCGCTCTCAATTCTTTAGAGCTCTCCTAATCAACAGATCCTATCACCAACTAATTCTACCACCCTCCCCACTCTTAACAGTCACCTGCCAAAGGTTGTTTGAGGAAATCTATAGTGCAGCTACTATGATGTTGGTTGGTTTACTGGACAGGAAAAATTGATGGACTGTGAAGGAGAAAGCCACCAAGGCTGTAAGAGCCGCCCCACTTAACTGCTGTTGCCATCTGTGCCCTGAACTAGGGCACTCAGCAGGAGGTTAAAGTGTGAGAGAGGCATCAGAAATCTAGTTCAAATGCTCCCATCCCTGATCCAAGGAATGGGATTACATTTTCCTACAGGAAGAGACACTTTTTTCTAATATGTGCAAAGGCACATAATGGGCTAGCTCTGGCCCTAGACCACCTAACAACAGAGAAAGAGGGTAGACAGTATCTAACAGACTAGGGAAGGTAAGGAAACTAAACTTTCACTTAGTATCTACTCTGTAATAGGAGCTTTATACATATTATTTCCTTTAATATCTTCCTCTATTGCAAGGAGCACTGTCATGCTCCATTACAGAGATGAGAAAAACTGTAGATTTAAATAAACTGCCAAATAAGAGACAGAAAAAAGATTTACATCCAGTTTTATCTTCTGTGAAAAGGGTAGAAATGTGTTTAATGATACATGTTAGACCGCAGAGTAGAAAAGGTTCTTTGGGCTTTGTAAATTACTGCCTTAACTGTTTTGAAAGTTAGATTAACAACACTACAGCTTGGCTTTCCATCCTGCTCACAAAAGGAAGAGGACAACTTCACTTCAAAGACCTCAGACGCAGAAAGCAGACTGAAACACAGGCATGATGACATCCACAAAACTAACAATGAGAGAGTCATTTCAGAACCAAAACTTTACAATTGTTGGCTTCAGTTACTGGTCCCCTTACACATTAATGATTAAAAAAGCTATAATACAGCATATGTTATTTTTTAAATAAAATGTCTCCCGCATGAATCTAGAGAGAAAATAAATATCACCCATGCTTCAGTTTCCTTAAAATAATAACTATTTTCCATATGAAGTTTTATGCAAGCATAAGCATTACTCCAAGTGCTCTAATCACGGTGTCTCACTCACCTGAGGCTGAGTTCATCATGCTCTGCTGCACTGGAGGGCTGGTGGGGGCTGTGACGTTCATCTGAGAGAGCATGGCCTTCCTGGGGTCCTGCCATGTTGTTGTCTGATCAATGTGACTGAGACAAAACAAACCACCGCATTAGGTGACAAATACCAGGTCCTAAAAACAATTCTCCTTATCCAAGAGGGTAGGACATGTGTGCTAATAATCAAAGGGTGCTAAATGAGCTCTTGAGTCCTGCATCTCACTGCTCCTACCTTTCCTCTGCAATGGAAATTTTTTATCCTTAAATCACTCAAACTTTCACCTCTTAAATCTTACAAATGAAAAATTTTAAAAACTTACGCCTGGAATTTTAAAAGAAAGGAAATCATCTTCACTTAATAGCTAACAGTAATCATATGACTAAAACTCAAGATTCACAAGAGAATCATAGACTTACTTTCTCCTAAAGCTAAGAATGCCAAGTAACATAATTTTTATGCCCAAAATCCTTTTGAATAGTAAAAGGCTTCACACATGTGCACAGGCACACACACACACAAAGAAAAGAAAAACAAAAGCTCAGGGTCCGTTGCTCAGTGAGTAGGGCACTGGCCACATACACTGGGGCTGGCGAGTTTAAGCCAGGCTCAGGCCTGCTAAACAAAACTGAAATTGAAAAACTGAAACCAGTTTCAGAAAAATGAAAACTGAAACCAGAGGGAAAAAAAATAGCCAGATGTTGGGGCAGGCACCTGAAGTACAAGCTACTTGGGAGGCTGAGGCAAGAGAATCGTTTGAGCCCAAGAATTTGAGGTTACTGTGAGCTGTGACGCCACAGCACTCTTACCAAGGGTGATGTAGTGAAACTCTCCCCTCCCCCAAAAAATCTGTCTTACTATAATACATATCCCAAAGCCAAAAGAGAATTAAAAACCTCATCTCTTTTCACTTTCTCCTTGACTGTTTAATAACATGTTCTTATACAAAGCCCTTTGTTATTTGCTGAACATTTTCTATATATTAACTTAATGAGGAATATATGTATGCAATTTCTCCATCTAGAAAACTGAGGACGAACGCAGCCAAATATGAAACATAAGACTAACAAAGTACACTGTCTGCTATACAAGCTTTCAATAAATATTAGTTTTCGTCTCCCACCAAAATTTCATTTGAGTGAAACAAAACTGAATATATTATATAAATAAAACTATCTAAAAAAAATCAGCCTGAGCAATCTAGCAAGACCCTGTTTGCACACCTGTAGTATCAGCTACTCTCCCTGCTGAGGCAGGAAGATCACTTTGAGCCCAGGAGTTCTCCGCTGCAGTGAGGTAAGATGATGCCAGGCAACAGAGCAAGACTCTCTCCCCTATCCCCACCAAAATCCTGCAGTACAACAGCCAGAGAAGGAGTACTCAAAGATTCATATACAAGGTTCTCTATGGTAGCATTTGTAACAGCAAAAATCTGAAAGCCAGGATCCCAATGACAGGGGATTGGTAAAGTCAGTATGATCACATATGACAGACTACTAAGCAGCAATTTAAAATACCTATCAGATCATTTAACATGAAAAATATTCACAATAGTTTTAAAAAAATTCAGATTAATATAAGGGTACATATGACTAGGCTACATTGCATTTATAAGGTAAAGTCCAAGTTGTAGTTGAGTCCTTCACCCAGGACGTGTGCCATATATACATCCCCTACAGTACTGTACCCCTATAATATAGTTTTTTAAAGTAGGTTATAAAACAGTATGTACAGTATGAGGTTAACTTTAAAACTATATATTCACATGTAGGGAATATATAATAGAAAGAAAAGACATCAAAGAGATTTAACAGTGTTTATTTTCAGATGGCACAATTACAGGAAAACCTGTATCATAAACTCTTATTATTTTTGAAATGAAAAAAGAGATGGAAATAGGGTTATTTTTTAAGAAAGAACCCCCCTCCGCACGCTTTTATAAGTTTTGCAAAATCTTATAATAATGAAAAGAATAATGAAAAGAACCCCCCCAATCATTTTTTGGTGCTATTTAAATTTCAAACCTGAGTTCTCTCTTTCTGAATTATCCCATGATAAAAACCATGTAAATCAGTGGTTCTCAACCTTCCTAATGCCGGAGCCCTTTAATTCAGTCGTGACCCACAGGCTGAGAATTGCTGATGTAAATGGTAATAACATTCTGTGACTACCCTGAAAAGGAACTAAAATGCTACCTAAGCTGGGCACAGTGGCTCTCATGCCTGTAATCCTAGTATTTTAGGCAGCCAAGATAAAAGAATCACTTGAGTCTAGGAGTTTGAGACCAGCCCTAAACAAGAAGAGCAAGACCCCAACTCTATAAAAAATAGAAAAATTAGCTGGGCACGGTGGCAAATGCCTGTAGTCCCAGCTTCTAGGCAGCCTGAGGCAAGAGGATCACTTAGGCTCAGGAGTTTGAAGTTGCAGTGAGCCACGGTACTCTAGCCAGATCAACAGATTAAGACTCTATCTCAAAAAAAAAAAAAAAAAAAATTAAAAATTAGTATGCTATCTCATCAATAATTTTACCTTATCATTAACACAGTGAGAAAGGATTATACACTCTAGCTAGATCTGGACTGAAGTATTTACTAGAAATGAGAGAAGAGTTCTTTCTGCTTCCAGGTAATCAGAAAAGTGGAAAAAAATTAGGAAAGCTTTGTAGACTTAGGAATGATAATGGTACTGCTGGCACAACAAAGCTATCACAAACCAACTACAAATGTTAAGAGAAAATATTGATTTATTTAGTAGTACATAATTTCTCAAATATTAACTTACTACTGGTAGCTAAATCTCCTCCACTGAATCTATCTACTTTTTAGCCGTAGACTAGCATTTGCTCAGGTCTAGACAATATAGGCAAGAACTTATTCAAAAAAAAGAATGTATTCAAGTTTTACTATCTAGGTACCTTAAAAGGTTTTCATCAAGTTTAATAACTGCTTATTCTACCTCCTCTTCAATCCTCCATATTAATTATTAAATCAATTTAACCACAAAATGTTCTCTGAACACAGTGATTTTCCTGCTTACAGATATAAGCAATGTATACATGGTAATTAATACAGTTATGCCTGTATAACTGTATTCAGTTTCCTTGAGGAAATAAGTTTTTTAAAATCCAAAAGATGACCAAAATTTAAGGAAAGGTTTCTCACTGCCCACTGTAACATTAAGAAACTAGGAAAAGAAATAGCCGGTGACCATCACTGTATGTGCTCCTGCCTACTCCCTGTCTCCAAAACTTTCTTAAATCCCTGATATGTGAGAGGGAAAAAATTCGGGATCTTGTCTGTGAAGGAGTTTCTCTGAAAACAAATCCATCATTTTATCAATTATATTAACCCATATTTTAATTTTCAGTTGTTGAAGCTATAGGTCATATTAGACAGACATCCATCAGGGGGTTTGGAAAGACCTGGTTCTGATGACTGAATGTAACAACCACATGAATCTTCCCAAACAATGAAGCCAATCTGTAAATCTGCTCTCTTTCCCCTTCAAATAGTTTTAAATATGATGTAAAGGTTAAAGTTTTACTGCTTATAAAAAATCATTTTCCTGGCTCAGTATCTGTAGCTCAGCAGCTAGGGTGCGAGCCACATACACTGGAGGTGGCGGGTTTGAAGCTGGCGTGGGCCTGCTAAAACAATGACAACAACAACAAAATAGCCGGGCCTTGTAGCGGGTGCTTGTAGTCCCAGCTACTGGGGAGGCTGAAGCAAGAGAATCGCTTAAGCCCAAGAGTTTGAGGTTGCTGTGAGCTGTGACACCACAGCAACTACTGAGGGTGACCTAATGAGACTCTGTCTCAAAAAGCAAAATCATTTTCCAAAAGTTACTTAAATATATAAATGCTAAAATTTTCCCTCCTAAAAAAGTTGTTGAACTTCAGTAAGTTAGTTTGGAGGCCCAAAGAGCTACGCTATGTTCCCTCAACTAATGTGCCACTTACTTTAAAAGGATCTACATCTCTTTAAGGCAATGATTTTCAACTGGTAGGCCACAGCATGCCGCAAGAGCATCTTAGGTGTGCCGGGAAAAATTTTAAAGATCGTTCATTATTTTCAAAAGAAGTTCAAAGCACAGTAAGTATATTCTTTTTCTTAATCCTTTTTTGATCAATGTAATTTAAGTGTGCTGCAAAAGTTTTAACTAAAGGTTCAAGTGTGCCTTGAGATAAAAAAAAAAGTTGAAAAACACTGCTTTAAGGAAAAAAGATGTCATATCTAAATTTCCAACTATAACACGTTGGAATTAACTTCAAAATATTTTGTTTTCATTTATTCTACATGATTAAATCGTGAAAAAAGATGTCATATCTAAATTTCCAACTATATCAATAAATCAAAAGTTGGTTTTTTGAAAAGGTTAATAAAAGATAAACCTTTGGCCAACCTAACCAGGAAAAAAAGAGTAAAATCTCTAATCTCATCAATCAGAAACGGTAAAGATGAAATAACAACAGACCCCTTAGAAATTAAAAAAATCCTCAATGAATATTACAAGAAACTTTATTCCCAGAAATATGACAATCTGAAGGAAATCGACCACTACTTGGAAGCACGCCATCTCCCAAAACTTAGCCAGAATGAAGTGGAATGTTGAACAGGCCTATATCAAGTTCTGAAATAGCATCAGCTATACAAAATCTCCCCAAAAAGAAAAGCCCGGGACCAGACGGCTTCACGTCAGAATTCTACCAAACCTTTAAAGAGGAACTAGTACCTATATTATTCAACCTTTCCCAAAACACTGAAAAAGACGAAATACTACCCAACACATTCTATGAAGCAAACATCACCTTGAT